TAATTGCGGTTTTTTTAGCTATATAACTCATAGGAATGTCGAAAACTGAAAGAGGAGATAGATTTTTTCTGTAAAAAACTTTCAAAATGACCATTTTTGACATTTTTTCTTCCGGAAAAGGACCATACATGAATCTATAACCCCTAATTAATTTTTTAAGAATCATTTGAATCATCTTGGAACTCCACAAAATCAGATAAAAAATTCTGAAATTATGGTTTTAGACCTGCAATTGTGATCGCGCCAAACTTTTTTTCTGTAGATCAAAAATTAATTTGCAGTTCGGAATTGTTCTGTGGGAGAGCGTGCCATCTAAAATATCCAAAAGCCATTTTGACCTATTTCATATGTCCAAAAGCCATTTTGACCTATTTCACATTTTCTTCGAAAATAACTCCTCCACAACTTGGGTTCAAGCGAGGGGGNCAGAAAGAGCGCCCCAGNAAATTTAGGAAAAATTCTAAATTCGCTGCCGAATTTCGTTGGCTGAGTTTCACAGTTTTAAATGAAGAGCGAAAAAGCGCGCCTTGCAACCAGTTGATTTTGAAGAAATAGATCATGATCCAGATCAAACCCGCGTCCAATTTAAAATTATTAAATTTCTTCTGGCCTACGAGTTTTCTGGGGCGCGCTTTCTGACCCCCTCGCTTGAACCCCAGTGCTTCCATAGTATCAAATTACTGAAAGCCTTTGACTTTCACTTCTTCTTGCTCTCGGTCAATTTGCAAAACAAACAAAGTCAAGATGAAAACTAAAAAATAATTTTCAGAAATATGCAACTGACACGGATAATGCGTGTGCTCATCAGAGGAAGTAATGGGCAAGCACAGTGGAAAGAAATAACGGAGAATCATCTGCCCAAAGGTGGAAAGAGACTCTCTTTCAGAGAAGTAAAATATTCATGATGATTTGAAAAAAACAATTCTCGATTTCAGAATTCCTTGATTGCTTTCGGATTGGGAATGCTGGTTTTCTCTTACGCATATTTTCAAGATGAGATCAATCCGGATTCTAAATGGGCCAGTAAGAATTCTTTGAAATATTGTTTCATACTGAAAGCTTTTTTTCCAGAAGCGTATCGTACATTCACTAGAGAACCTCTCTCCTGGCTTACGAAAGGACAACCCGATGGTCCTGTTTCACCTGACCACAAGCCCCCCGTTTTTTAATTGTTTTCAATATCTTTTTTTCGTAGCCTTTTTCATTTATGTTTCTCGGAAGTAGTGGATTTGTACATAAATCATATTACGAAAAGTCGCATATCTTCAGAGACAGAACTGGGCGAAGTTTCTTAATAAACAGAGCCGAATCTTGATTTTATGCCCATTGATTCGATGAAACACCTAATTCGTTGAAACTGTGCTTCTTTCTTTAAATCCGCCGACTGTTACTTTTCGCTCCTAAATTTGATATCCTCGAGCCAAATGTATTTTAATCGCTTTCTAATATTTAAATTCAAAGTTTCATTCACATAAAATCAAAAGTGAGTACAAAAACGACTAAAATAAATGAGTATAATAATATGTACAAATGAAGACCAACAATATGAATTTTCGACAACTAGAATTAGATTCGAAGTCTGCTCATTTCCAAATTGATCCATGTTGATGCCGCATGCACGTTTCCATAAACTCCTGGCATTCCGGGTCGAGCACATCCGATTCCCCAACTAACGACGCCTGTGAGCTCCCAGTGACCATCACGAGCACACATTAACGGTCCGCCGCTGTCACCCTGAAAATTATTTGAAAATTCGAAAATCACCGTAAAATCAGTAGTACCTGACAAGAATCGATTTTCCCATAACTGTATCCAGCACATAACATTGACGGCAAATGTATGCGTCCTATGTAGTTCGGAAGACTGCTGCAGAAGAGAGTGGATAAGAGGGGAACATGAATCTCTCGCAATGTTGGTGCAGATGCAGAGCTGCCCTCAAGAGTAGATCCCCAACCAGTGACTATGCACAGACGATTTTCAATGGCGGGTAGACGTGGTAAACATATTGGTCTTGCTGTGGTAGATGTGTTGACGGGTGGATGAATTCTGGAAACAAAATATGCCTTTAGAGAAACCTTGCAGTCCCTCATACCTCATAATTGCGAAATCGTAGGAGCTGGGAAATCCTATGTTGTACCACGGGTGTATCGAAACTGCAGTGACACGATGAGGACTCCCTGACCCAGATCTGTGACCTCCCACTCGAACAGAATAAGATGTCGGTCGTCGGCTTTAATCGATTGAATCCTACATTATAAATCAGTAGCTCACACTCACTCTTTCGCAAAACAGTGCGCTGCCGTGAGCACGAAATTGGGGTCGATTAAAGAGCCACCGCATCTGTGTTGTCCGAGTCTAGAAAGAAGTTGCACAGTCCATGGCCATGCGTGCGGTCGTGTCTCTGACCCCCCGATCAGACGATGATCCAAAGTCTGAATTAAAAAAAAAGGTTTTTCTCTTCAGTTTTAAATCTATTCACCACATAATCCGCTGGTTCCTGCGCGGATCTCCCTTGAGCCAACTCAAGATTCGTCGAATGTTGTCCGCATTCGTCGTCAAGAGTGTATTCCTTCTCGTTGATTGTGTTCACTGTGCCGATTATCACAATGAAGACAACTAATCGGCAGTACGGTCCCATGGAGTTGTTGTGCGCAGAAGCATTGTTTTCGAATGAAATCACAATACAATAATTGGCGCCATTTTTCCGCCATTATTTGGCGCCATTCCGTAGATCTGTCTATCTACTTTTTTCCGCCAAATAACTTTCAAAACTTTCATGGTCTTGAAAAAAATCTGAAAATCCACTATTTCTGCACTTTGTCGTCATTTGTGGGGTTTGCGTCTCGCAAGATCCTTCACAATTTCCACGTCGTTTTCACAGCTTTTGACATTAAAAATCGATATATTAACCCGTTTTACTGCTTAAAACTGGGTTTAAAGTGGTTATGGTCGATGCCGCTGTGTCTGCAAAAGCTGATATGCTGGCAGCGGCCAGAAAAAAGGTTGGAGATCCTTGCATTTGATGTTTGCAGCAGTTGCTCATTTCCGTTAATTTCAGCTAAAAGACTTCGAATCTCGACAAAAATTGGATGGTCGCTCTTCTCCCGCATCCAGCATAATTTCATCGGAACCAGATGGAGGAGCAGCCCTAAATGGACGAAGTAGCGTTGTTAGTGACGATTCCACGGCTCTCCAGATACCACAGTCTTCCTCTTCTGCGCAGAATTTGTCTAGGAATGGAACGAATGTGAGTATCATAATGAAAAATTTTTGAGTTTGATGTCATTAATTTATTTTGTTGTAGGCTTCTCCATTCCTGCCAAACGGAAACGAATGGTATCAAGCTTATACGCAGTTGAAGACGCAGCATGATGAATTGGTAAGCACCATCGTTTTGAAAACCTAACGTTTCGTTTTATGTTAGGAAAAACATAATAAAGAGTTATGCAGCTTGAAGAAAACATGTATAGCATTGTGAAATATTAAATATTCCGATTTGTTTAGAAGTTGCTGTTGAGAGCTCATAGTAGTAGTTTCTGTCATTGAATTTGAACCACTACGTTTCAGTGTGCACATTATGCGCAACTTCATTCTGCCTACTCGCAAGTCAACGCAAACGGAGTTCATGTCGACGCCGAGAGTCAAATCGTACAACTTCAACATGTTGGTCTCTTTATTAAACGAACATTACCAATTTTTACTTCAGGCGTTGTCCGCCATGGTAGAGGAAAAAGTTTCACTTCAAAGCGATTTACGACGGTCAAACGAACAGACCGAAAATCTTCGACAGAAACTGGCTGCTGCAGAACATTTGTCAAATCAAAAGCGAGTGGAACCTACTTCCTCCACGTACAGTAGTTCTGAAGAAGTTCGGAAGCTAACAGAAACAATAACTCAAAAAGACAGCCTCCTTACTGCACGTCATCAAGAACTCGAGGGAGCAAGACGAGAAGTTGCTTCTGTTCAAGCTAGTTTACTCAATGTGCAACACGAAAGGAGTGAAGCTCAGGCTCGTGTAAAGAGTTTGATTAAAGAAACTGCAGCTCAGCAAGGAAGAATCGATCAATTGAAAAAAGATATTCAAATGAAAGATCTTTATTTGAAACAACTCGGTGGTTCTGTTCCGGCTAATGTTCAAAATCCTGATAACAACGATCACGGAAGTTCCTTGCAGGAGTTGGAGCATTTCAGGTCTGAAAAAACGCGACTTAACGCTGAAGCTGCCACTTTGAAAGCACATTACCTCGATCGTGAACATGCTCTCCAACAGAAGCAAGCTGAGCTAGCTACAGAACTTGAGAAACTACAAACTGAACAGTTCTCTGCGAAAGACGAAATACAACATTTAAATCACGAACTTCAAATTGCTCGATCTGAACTCGAAAAGGCGCAGTCAAGTGTTTCGGAGTGTCCTGAAGAAGTACCCAGAATTACTGAAGAAGATGTAACCAAGCGAATTCGAGAAGCATGCCACGTTGAACGACTGAAGTTTGACAGAAAACTCGAGGAGAACCAACGACAAAGAGAGGAAGAGATACTCGAAAAAGATAAAGTAATTTTCGAGCGAGAGCAATCTTTGGCTGAACTTGAAATGAAGTACCGACTTTTGGAAGAGAGAACATTGGAATCTACTGCTAATGGAGCCGATCTTCTTTCACTATCAGAGCAACTTCAAGTAAGTTCCATTTTTCGACAATATTTTACTGTAAACAAAATTTTTTACAGAACGAAAAAGCTACTGTTTCACGAGCAGTTGCCCAAAACAAAGAACTCAAAGAGCGATTACTGGAAACGGAAGATAGATTTGTTGTCCTGACGGAAGAGAAGGCTGCGACAGAGCTGGCTAAACAATCTGCAGAGCATCAAGTGAAAGAGCTCACAAAACAGTTGAACTTGGAAGCCGCTGGCCTAGTTGGGAATCTCTCAGAAGTTATCGCAAGTCAACCACATTTGGATGCAGCCCCAGAATCATCGCAGTCTGAAAACAATCTGAGATCACAAGAAATCGAAAATATGAACACGGAGCTGAAGGAAACTGTGGAAACCCTACAAAGAGAGAATTCTGAAATTCGTTTGAATTTGGACCAGAAAACTCACGAACTGCAACAAGTTCGTGCTGAGCTGAGAAGAAGTACTACTCATAACGAACAAATGGATGAGATCATGAGACAGAACGCAGAAGATGAGAATCAAAACTCGATTCACGTTGAGCTCACTCAAGCAGTTGGACGGGTTCAGGAGCTAGCCACTGAAAATGAACAAATGCGAGAATTGTTGAACGAGGTTCGTCAGCAATTAGAAGAAGAACGATCCGAAAGAGCAACCGAGTCTGAAAGAAACAAACGTGAGAAAGAAGAGAAAGACTTAGAATTGGTCGAACCGGAAGTAGCCAAAGATGTAGAGCAACAACCTTCCCGTGAGCTTCATGAAGACTTGTGGGCTCGAAAAGAATTAGAGAAACGCTTCGCTCGAGCAATGATGCAAAACGCCGAGCTTGTAGAAACGATTGATAGGCTGGAGCATATCAATCAACAGCTTGAACTGGAAAATGATACTATTGCTGATCACGTTGTACTCTACCAACATCAAAGAAAGTTGGTTCGGGAAAGACTTCGAGTGAAAGATGAACAGCTGAAGGCGATGGAAGAGGAACGAACGAGAACAGTGACAAGGTGCCAAGAACTGCAGAATGTCTTGATGACTGTGCTGAACAAAGGAGGTGTACTAAAGGTATATGAAGACTATTTTTGTGCTAAACGTCAACAATCATTTCAGGAGTACACCACTACGTCTCGCAAAGCTTCGCGTCGTGTTTCTCGTAGTTACAGTCATTCAACTGTCGACGAATTGAGTGGTGATGAAGATGTTGTTATTGATGCGAAATTGGAGGAAATTCCCGAAAGAGTAGGGGTTCATGGTCAAGGAGATGAAGCAATCAATAGTATAGTGAATCCAACTCCGTTGATATTGGAAACAGAAGAGAATCGTGCAACACCAGATTTTAAATCGGTCGTTGACAATCCTATTTCCATCGATCCAGAAACACATACAGATGCATCTGTTCGGCGTATTCTTGAAATAATTTCGGATATCAGCGTATGTTTCGAAGAAAATGTTCACCTTCATCGATTTTAATGATGTTTTTGCAGAGACCGCAGCCGATTCCCACTGGCCAACTTCATTGTACACAATGTATTGGAGATCTTCAAGAGCTCTAGTGATAAATGTGCATAATATTTTTAATTTTAACCAATCATTTTCTTAGATTTAATTGTGGGTAGAACTTTAATTATTTATTTTTTCTGTTGTCAACAACATCATCATAAAACGACTAGGGTTATTTATTGCAAAGCCTTTCTCTTTTCTCGCTATTCATGTCCTCCTTTTCCCCGTTTTTTTGTAAATTTCGACTCCTCCCGCTGATTGTTTTAAGAGTATCTTTTGTATCCGAATCACTTCCAGTCTCCTCCTTGTGATAACTAACAGGAACGTTAAACCGTTTCCTACGATTCTAAAACATAGAACATTAATAACGTCTTCTCTAATCTTTGTTTTCTGGGAATAAAAATTAGAACAATATGTCTCAAATCATCCCTCAATTGGTTGTAATCTGTATTCCTATTGCTTATCTTGCAGGGGAAAGTAATATCGGACGATGCAGGACTGAACAGGAGCACAACATGAATTGTTTTCAGAAATGCGGCTTTCATGTGAAGTGGTGTTCCAACGTCACAAAGCCAATCCAAAACAGCTACCAACAACAACGAAACCTCGAAAAGGTTTCGCAATTTTGGAAAGGCTTCGACAGGTGATAAATCTATTAAAACATTCAGTTATTTGAACGGCTCTCTTAAGTTTTCCCGAAAAACGCATAAGTAAAAAAAATCTCAATTTTTATAGTTAGTCAAATCAAGACATCTTGTTCAGAATCCCCCGCAACATCAAATACGATTCGCTGTGTCAGACGATAAATCTGGGAATAAATTCGATCTTAGCAAGGCTCCAGCGATCATAGACAGATTCTTAAAACAGGGAAAAGTCACACTCACATTTCAATGTACTCCGGCTGTCACTGTTTTCATAAGCAAGGTATCGATTCGTTCTTTTATCACTCTATCTGAATAATCATCTTCAGGCATGCCCAGAATCTCTTGCGACGTTCATTGATACTATCAGAAAAATTTTGCGAGGAGAAGCAGTCGACATTCAGAAGATTAAAGTAATTAAATTTTACCAATTAGTTTTCCATGATTAAAAACTCTTCAGATCAAAAGTTCTGATTTCAAACCAGCAACGATTACAGTGATGGCTCAACAGGACTACAAAAAGCAGATGATGTTAACTTCTGAGTTTCTCAGAACACTTCGAATCGAACCTATTGATTTGCGGAAACCGGACAGAACATGGATTAGGTGCAAGAACATCACTCAATTGCTGATCAATGGAAATGCAATTGGAGATCGTAAAACTGATTTAGACGTTTTCAGTCAACTACCACATCTGCAAATCCTTGAACTAAAGAATTGCCAGTTGGGGTCACTTCCGATTCCAATTTTTCGCGATATGTTCAAAACATTGCCTGTTACATTGAATTCGTTAGATTTGAGAGAAAACCAATTGACGGTTCGTTCGAATCCAATGACATCATTTTAAAGTCTTCTTCCAGATGTTTCCTCCCATTTTCCATCTCAGTCAGCTTCGTACTCTCAACGTAACTTTCAACAATATTCGCTATCTTCCATCCCGCATTGGATCGTTGCAAAATCTTCAAAACATTGATCTCAGCCACAATTCGATGACAATCATGCCTTACATATTCCCGAAAATTCCGAGCATACAGCATGTGGGGATTCATGCCAACGATGAACTTGTAAGATTGTGAGTTTAATGTTTCCCCTATTGCCTATGGTTTTCTGCATACTTGCAACGGGCCGGGCCCGGCCGGGATTTTTTGAGAATTTCCAGGGCCCGGCCCGGCCCGTCTCGGCCCGGGTTTTCAGAAACAAATTTTTCCTGTTTTCTCAAAAAAATTTTTCGGGGTCAACTGAAAAAATGGACGATTTTTCTGTCAAGTAAAAAAACTTTTCAAGATAAAAGTGTCCATAAAAATAGTTTTTTTTTCACAAAATAATTTGAAAAAATGTCTGAAATTTCACAAAAAAATTTCAAATTTGGAAAACCCGGGCCCGCCGGGCCCTGATTTTGCAAGTATGGTTTTCTGATGATTTCAGAGAAGAAGAAATTGGTCCTTTGATAGCTAGTGAACTCGCCACCAAAGTTGATAACCGTGACTATGCTCATGAAGGAGGAGTAGACACTTTGATGACTATTGCGGCGAATGCCATTCATCGCGAAGAGTAAGACATTTACAGAAATAGAAGATATGAAGTTTTGGTTTTCAGAAATCGAAATTCGTTGAAAGTCTGCCCTTACTTCTTGCCACTCTGTTTGCGATTTCAAGTGGAAGATTTGATTTACGAAAAGCCAGGAATTTCAGCTTTGGAAATGTGCACGAGTTGCTTACGACTTCGACATATTCGTTACATTCGACCGCAAGTTATACAATCGAGACAAATCGCCGATGCAGTTGATGTCGTAGACAGATTTGTAGTCTTCAAGTGAGTTCGGAAGTAAATGTATATTAACTCAACACCATTTTCTTTCAGCAACCTATTGTGCATTGACTGCCATCGTCGAACCCCACATCATCGTGCGCTCAGGACAGCTCCACTTCAACGAGATTTCTTCAATTTCTCACTCTAGATTTACATATTATCATACTCACAACGAAGTCTATTAAAAGATATTCCGATCTCAACATGTATTTAATTCGGTTAACATCACTTTGCTCAGAGCCTTAAAACTTAAAACTTCAAATCTCATTTACCATCTGAATCTCAATAAAAATTGTAAACTGCATAGCCATTTTAAAAATTCTCCTGTCGCACTTCCAATATTCCGAAATATCTATTTTCTTTTTATCAATCTGATTAATCAAATGTAGATGCTTCAGAACGGAACGATGGAGGCAGATGATCAACTCGAGCTTCGGAGAAGAGAAAAAATTGAAGAAGTTCAAGCGGCCGTTGAAAAACTATTAGGACAAAAGTTCCAGAAACTGGAAAACCTACAGAGAATGGATAAAATGCTGAAAAAAGAAATTCATCTGCTTCAAAATGTATTCAGTCAGGAGAACTAAATTTTCAAATAATTCAATTTTACAGGCATCAAAAAAGGCACTGGAGACTCATTTGGTCACTTGTAACTACGCATTCTACAAATCAATTATTGATGAAATCGAATCTATGGGTAATGCGACTTCCGTTCTCAAGACATTCAAACGAGACGATGTATCAGTCACAGTGGATATTGTAACTAAAGATCCACATGTTTGGGTAGAGTATATTTAATTTTTCAAAAGAAAATCCGATTTTCACTGCAGATCAAATTGGTGAATCGTCCTGCAAAAACCGTATTAATCGAATATCGCGATGGAAAGCGCAACGGAGATGTGATAGCTCAGATCAAACAACATCTTCACGTATCCCGACGATTCAACAACCCTGCCATCCATATCCTGTTCAAAAACGGAGTTCTTCGAGAAATGGCAGAAAAGCTGACCCGACATGGAATTGTTGTGATTGGAGATAGAGTTGAAAAAGAGGATCCGAGTCTCGTGGGGAAATGGAACGAAGAGCTTATCGAGCGATTGGAAGAGCAAGAGGATTCTGATTGGGACGACGATGAGGAGTTTGATCCAACTACGAGGTCAGTTGAGAAACAAGTTAAAATTATATAAGATGTGATCAGAGCAAAATATTTGCCGCCAGCAGGGGTCGAACCTGCGACCTTGGGCTTATTAGACCCACGCTCTAACCGACTGAGCTATGGCGGCCACAAAACAAAACATAGAACAAGAACTAGACAACTCTGTGTGTGTCTCTTCTCTCATCTCCTTTTCTCTTCTCCCTCTCTACTAATGCGTCTATTGTAGGTCGCCTCCACTGCTATCTCAACAACAATCGGCAGTTTCCACAATCAACCTAGACATCTCAGCTGTGATGCTTCTTGTTTCGAATATGTGCGAACCTCCTGGAGCTGAATTCAGATTCAAAGAAGAGATGATTAATAAGCACGTGCAAAGTGAACGACATACGCCAGCTAAAGCAGGATTGTTGGAGAAGTTAAAGGGTACTATCCGGAAAAAAGTGCTTTGAGGGACATCTAAATTATAGGCAATCGGTTGATAATGAGTAGAATGGCAATTGAACGAGTATCTGAAATAGTAAACACGGTAGGCGGGCCAAACGAGAGAGCCAGATTTGTGGAACTAATGAAAACAGTCGAGTCCATTCCGGACCAAGAATCAGATGAAGTCGGAAGAGTGGCCAAACTTTCGGATATCAAAGGAATTTCTTCTATTACAAAGGTATGAATTCTTTTCCCCCTTGCTGTTCATTTATCCTAATTCCAGAGAGTTTTCTCATGTGCCGAAATGACTAATACGACTACAGTAACCGCTAATCACAAATTCCTGACACATGCCAAAGCAAAGGTACTTCTACAAATTGAAATTCTTAGCTATAAATTTATTTTAGAACATCTTCTTCAATGTGATCGAAATTCCACCGCGCCCACTGACCGAACAAAAAGAATCGACTGCTGACCGAATTTGAAAAAATATCTCTGCTATTTTTCATATTTTATTATTTTTATATGTTTATTTATGTTAGGTGAATATTTAAATCAGTATCTTGACTATTTGTATTTAAACTTAAACTGTGATGATCTTAATTTTCTTCCCCGTTAATAGTCCGATTCAAATGCGGTGTTTAATTGTTGCTGGAATAAATCTGATGATTTCTAATAACTAAATCTCGTTCTCCAACTATCATGTAATCGTCAATATGTGTACTTCACTTTCTCCTCTTCTACTTCATGTTGAAGCTTAATTTTAGTTTAGCGAAGATGTCCAAGTATCCAACAATCAGAGCAAGAGTGATCGACTGCAAACAGGGAGCTGTGAGAGCAGTTCGATACAACGGTTTGTGTCCGAATTATAGCATTAAGCTTCATTAAACAAAGTTTAAGTTGATGGAAACTACTGTATAACTTGTGGCAGTGACAAAACAGTAAAACTATGGAACCCATTAAAAAGTAGTCTTCTGAAGACCTACTCCGGAACAGGAAATGAAGTTCTCGACGCGGCTTCTTCATCAGACAACTCACAAATTGCCGCGGGAGGAGCGGATAAAGCCTGTACTGTATTTGATGTGGAAACTGGAAAACAGTTGAGAAGATGGAGAACTCATGGAGCACAAGTGAACGCAGTAGCCTTCAACGAAGAATCATCAGTGGTGTTCTCTGGATCGATGGATTGTACAATGCAAGCATTTGATTGCCGATCTCGCAGTGAAAAACCCATTCAAATATTCAATGAATCAACCGACGGAGTGATATCGATCGATGTGAATGGACATGAAATTGTTGCCGGAAGTGCAGATGGAAACTATCGAATTTATAGCGTTCGAGATGGAACCGTAAGGTGGAGAATGATTAAAAAATATGAGTTGATTAATATTCAGATGACAATAGATTTTATGGGAGATTCTGTGAACAGCATCAGCTTCACACCAGATGGTAATTGCATTTTAGCTGGTGTCATGGGAGGAATGGTCAGATTAATGGACAAATCGAGTGGAAAACTGTTAGCGAGGTGTAATAAATAAGCATCTAGAAATTCTTGAAAAACTAGGACTTTCAGTTACAAAGGACATCAAAACACAGATTACAAATTAGATTGTCGAGTTCTTCAGTCTATTGAACACGTGGCAAGTGGATCTGAAGATGGATTTGTCTATATCTACAGGTATGATATGTCGTGAAGTTGAAGTGTCGAATTGTGTTTGTTTCAGTCTTCTAGACTCTCATATTGTTTCTAAATTGGAACACCCCTCGAAAGTGATCCACTCTCTGGCGTCTCATCCGAAGAAGGAAAGACTCGTGACTGCAGCAGGACAAATGATTTATCTCTGGGTTGCTGATGATGATGCTGAAGTTTTGGGAGAATGAAAATTCATGAATATAAAAATTCAATTTCTTTATTTGCAGTCAATAAAACTCTTATGTATTCATTTATTATGGTTTTGATGAGTCGAATGTTGTCGTGATGTAGTTAATAATGACAGAAAACAAGGAAATCTCTGAAGAAGAAGATGGTATTGGAATAAGAAAGACACTAGTGAAGGTTTGGTATTTTGTAATTCAAAATTCTACACGCAAGCAAATTTGGAGTTTTGTTGTTCAGGAAAAGAACCGAAAATGTTGTACAAGAAAGAACAGTTTTTTGTATTAGATGAGAAAGAAATTTGTATTCAGAAAAAGAGGAATCACAGTAGTATGAGCAGTTCGAAGTAACTAGAAGTGGAGGGAAGATGACCAGAGAATGTGAGAGAAGAGAAGAAAATGGATAATAAATTAAGTAGATAAACGAAAAGTACATGTTTAGGGTGTGGCATCAGCAGCTGAAACGGTTGTGAACATATCATCAGCACTGCTTGAATGATAGTCATCCAAGGAATCGTCACGGCTTCTCATTGGTGACAAGAAGACTGGTTGACGGCGTTGCCGTTCGCGGATTTCACCGATTGCACGCATTATACGGCATGAAGGACCACCACTGAAAATATAATTATCAATTTTCTTGATTGATTCTAGCCTAGAGTTTCAAGGTGCTATAAGTGATATTCAATTATTACTCACCCAATACCAATATTGAGTAGCTCGTCACGCGTAACAAAGTCGATCAAATCGTTTTTGGTATAAGCTTCAGAAGCGATCAATGCCGTTGATCGTTCATCGATTTCCAATCCGCGAAGCCAGTTAACAAGCTCCTCCTGAACACGTGTCACCTGATAGTTATTCTCAGTTCCTGGAGGCATGATAATCTTTTGAGCCGTCGGTTTGGAAGCAGCGAAACTGGGGGGCTGATTGGTGAATGTTCCAGATGGTTGAGCTCCACAAGAAGCACTAAACGGAGGAGTTGGAGGAGCATGAGCAACCGGAGAAGAACGGAATGGTGGATAGGTGTTACGGTACATGGCAAAGTCACGGAAACGGTTGGCTCTGGTTATTCCAGATTTCAATTGGGCATTCAATTCTCTTTCAACTTGAAGAAGTTTTTCAATTAAGAGTTCGTTCTCCTCTTGAAGAGTTCTCAGTTCTTTACGATCCTCTTTGACTCGCTCTTCACGACTTGGAGGCCTACTTTCAATGAGAGCTTCTCCTTCCGATAGGGATGAATTCCGTACGGCAGCAATTGATGACGTGGTCGGAAGATTGTCTTGAGCATGAAGAAGAAGAGAAAGATCTGGACTTAGAATTGAAATGGCATTTTGAACGGCTGATGTGATTAGATTGGAAAGGGCGAACATCCAATGTGGTTTGATATCCAGACGACGAAGAACTGGTTGAATAGAATCAGAAAAGTGATAGAGAGCAAGATTAATCTGAAAAAGCGTTAATTTTGAAACTGTTATGAAATTATTAGCTAACCTGTGCAATTTTAGCAGTATCATAATCAAGAAGTCCTCGAATATCATCAATCTTCTCTTGCATTTTTGCATTATCCTTTTTCAACAAGAAATCTCTCATTCCCTCTAATAACATTTCCAGCATACAGACAGTCACAACAAGTTCAGTATCACTTTGTTGAATCAGAAGAGTACTCCATGAATCGATGATCTAAAAAAATTAAATTATTTTTGGTTCTATTGATTAAAAAAAATAAATTCCTCTCTCACCAAATCTTTGTAGTCAGTCATGAATTGTCCGAGTGATCGCCGTCGCTCAGAATCTTTTTGAAGCATGAAAAATCTGCTCGAACTATTTGAACTTTCATCAGAAATAGTTCGGTTCAATAGAGCCGCCGATGACAGTGGAGATCCGAGTGTAGACAGAGTGACTGGGGAAACAATCAGTTGGGGATATGTTGTATCGTCTACAATCGGACTGGACGGTTGACTCAAATGGAATCCAGGATGGGACATGTTCGTTCCGGCAGACGATTGTCCGTCTGGAACTGGACTGCTGGAACTGAATGTTCGATTTCTGGCATGATCAATTTTGAGGTGAAGCTTTTTTTCTTCTCTTGCAATCGATAATGCATTTGATACAGTCTGACTGTGAGCATGTGAGAATCCAGCTGTCAGAGTAGCAGATGTTGGTTCTGGAGTTGGTGGAGATCTTTCGATCACTCCCATTCCTCCGATATGAGATGTCGAACGAAGCATTTCTCGTTGATTCTTCGATTTTTCTTTCTTCTCCTTATCTTGTTTCAGTTCAATTTTCTTCAATGGCTTCTTGTTGATTGATCCACTTCGAGTTCTTGAAATACTGTAATTATGGGAGGGATGGAATGGAGAGTATGAAACTTAAACATGACTGAAAACAACAACACAAAACAGCAGTGATGGAAGGAAAATAATTCTTACGAAATCCAGGAAACGGAATTTATTTTTTCTATGGAAACGGGAAAAAATCTTCAAAAATATTTCGGAAAACGGAAACGTCAGTTCCTCCCATCACTGGAACACAATATTTAAAAACTTACGAGTGATGCATGAATGGATCCTGAAGAAGATCTTTTGCAGAAGGACGATCGCATGCTTCTGGCAAGAAGCATCTCTTGATGAAATTTCTGCATTTCTCGGTTAACTCGGCAGGAATTGGTGGATGAGTTTTGAACATTCCCACTCGGAACATGGCTGCTTGTGGATTCTGCATCTCAACAAATGGAGGTCTTCCAGTTGCCATTTCAACCATTGTGCATCCAAATGACCAAATATCAGCCGGTGCTCCGTAGCCTCTCTGTCCATGATCGATGACTTCTGGTGCCATGTATTGAAGTGTTCCAGTAAATGTTTCAGTGACTGGATTCAATCCAGCAAGACGTTTGCATGTTCCGAAATCTGATATTTTACAGACACCAGAGTAAGTGTTCACAAGAACGTTGTCTCCTTTAATGTCTCTATGAACAATTTTCTGTTCATGAAGATATTTGAGTCCTTCGAGAATCTGTTTTCCATAATAAACCATATTCTGCTCGCTTACAGATCCCCATTTCGATCGAAGAAGAGAGCTGAGTGATCCTCCGGGAACATGCTCCATGAAAATCAAAAAAGTATCGTTGGATCCTTCTCTTCCAACCAAATCACATCCCAAATATTGAACAATATTTTGATGGCTTAATGTTGAATGAAGACCAATTTCTTCCATCAAAGGTTGAACTTCTTCATCGTATTTCACTTCGACCTCTTTGACAACAATCTGTCGTTGAGTATCCATATCACGAGCAGAATACACAGTTCCATAGGTTCCTTTTCCCAGTACAACACGCTCATTCGAATTATTCAGCTCATACTCAAATCGGATTTTCTCATTATCTGGATTGCTGAGAACTTTTCCTTGGTAGTTTCCGTCTTCGACATCAGCCATTGATTTCATGTCATCGAAAGCTCTGGAATCAAATTGAAATATAAATCGAAAGTTCCGAAAAAATCAGTAAATCCAAAATTCTCAAAAAATCTAATTTCTGAAAATTCTGAACTCGGAAAATTCTAAAATTCGAAAAATTCAAAAAATCCGAAACTCCCAAAATATTCAGAAAATTCGTAATTTCCAAAATTTCTAAATTCAGAAAAATTCAGAAAATCCGAAAATTCCAAGAAAAAAGTGAATTCCAAAAAATTCAGAATTAACTTTTTTTTCCCCGGAATTTTAGGTTTTTCCAAATATGAAAATTGTTGAAAATTCTAAAATGTGGAATTCTCTAATGTTAAATTTCTTACTTTTGACAATGTGCCTTGGTTGGGAAAAGGAGGTTGAAATCATCGGAATTTTCATGAACATAGAGGAACAACTGCCGATCATCTCGTTTTGATTCAGTGACTGCTTTGATATTTGTTCTAGTGAAGTGCCAACGATGGATGCCTGAAATTTAGATAAGCTAACTTCAACTTTAATTTTTATGGATAACAGTACCTTTAACTTCTGACTGATGAATCTTTTTCTGTTGACTCGTTTCCAAAACATGGCTTAAAATAACCGTTCCTTCTTCAGTGTTCAAAGTCAAGTATGAAGGAGTGAATTCTTTTGTCAATTCCAGAATGAGAACTGGATATCTTGGACAATTGATATCTGTGTCTGTTTCGGTTGCTTCCATGAAAAACTCGCTCCAAAACAAGAATTGTTGTTTTTCCTTCTCAATTGGACTGACTGTTGCTGCACATCGGTTGATCAGTTTAATATTTTCCATTGTCGATTTCAAATACCAGACTGGTGGCTTCAATTTGACCATCATCAATGCAGCTTCACATGCTTTTTGATAGTTTTCTGCCAAAACAGAAACCTCAAAATAAGTGGCAACATCCCAATATTCGGTCAAATTTTGTAAAGCTCCTTTTCGACCAAGAAGAGAATTCAGGACAACGGCGATTTGTTGCATTTCGAGGTTATTCTCAAAGTGTTCTCCACTGGCACGAAGAAGAGTTGTCAAATTGATTCCCGAATATTCCAGAGGTGACATTTCGAACGCTTTTCGATACCATTCAATTGCACTATTCAAACTATCACGATCTTCATAATTCGAAGCAATGAACTTATCCTTATAAATTCGACCTACAAAGAAATGGAAATAAGAAACTCGAAATTGTTTTTTGAAACACTAACCAGCAAGACAAACAACATCTGGACTCAACAGGCCATTCTTCTCCTCATTTTCAGTAGTTCCTCCAATCAGACTGAGTACCGTATTCAGTGCCAAATCACGATCTCCGCCTTTGTTTCTACTAAAGTTTTCAAATTTGCAGAGAAAGAAAAATTAGAAATCAACGAACCGATTCAATGCAAATGCATATTGATATCTGATAACTGGAGTATCAACCACTTTGACACAGTCCGTGATTCTTTTCAAATCGTCCACCAATCGAATCATTCCTCCATAATTTTGATTGTCACGATAGGAAAGCATCATAAGAGATACTGTATCTGGATGCAACACATCAGGATTATCCAAACGAGTCCTCATTTTATCCAAAAAGTCATTCTTCTGATCTCCATCTGTTATTTCTCGAGCCTTTCTCAAATCGGACATGAATTTTTCACGAGAATGAGCAGATGCTTCCACTTGAACACTTTTCAACACTGACTTCAATCTGTTTTGGAACGTCGTCATTTTTGCAGTTGTAGAATTGGCTCTGGCGAATGGGGGTTTTGCATCGTCCTCATTTCCATTCTAGAATTTTCAATTATTTTCAAGTTTCCTCTTCTGTAAATACGAACCTTTTCGTAACTTTGCAACATGCCACACTCTGGACTGTTGATATAAATAATCATTGGAAGATGTGCATGTGTCTTTTTGAGAGCATCCATGATATGATATTCAAGATCCGGAGCTAGATAAGTGAGGATCATATTATACGATTGTCCCATACTCTCTCGAACTCCAATATGATAACAGAGACTTGGTTGTTGATGGGTTACTGTAACATCAACCAGTGCCACATCCGCATTGTAGAAGAGATCGAGAGTCTCGGTTTCTCCGAAATCCAATTTGTCAAAGTCGATTTTCTGAAATTTCCCTTTTTAGAGTTGATCAAAAGTGACGAGTTCAAGTGTGCTTCCCTCTGTCTGCATTTGTAGTTCTAGACTAACGTCATACACTTCTTGGACTACGGTAGGTTTTGAGCATGAGTGTCATATGAAAAAATTGGAGTTTCAAACAGAAAAATACGATTTTTAAGAATTTCCAATCCTCTGGATTACCCAGATTACCGTAGTCAAGAAAATAAATGTACGAGCACGGGATGAAAAAATTTCAAGACTTAGAAGATCAAAAACATCCATATACGGAAAAAAAACCTAATACGAAATTGCAGATTTACAAACTCCATTCTCCTAAGCCAGTAAGTTACAAATTTCATACACAAGTAAAGAGGAATTGGCGAAAAACTGCTAAATGACAGCTAAAGAGCAAGAAAACAATATTGTTTTCACTATACTATACATAGAATAATGCCCCGTTTTTCCGCAGTCCTCTCTACCTGTGTAGGGTGGTAAGATTCCAAAAAAACTAACCGCCAAATTGACATTCAATGTATCAGCCACCTTCTGAACATCCTTCAATGCCATCTCCCGAACTCTCAAATTCTTCTGAACCTTCTGATCGATAACAATAACAACATGAAGTTTTCGTGCATTTCCTGGGATTACGGTCTTATCAAAAGAACCATTTGTCGATGGTGTTGGAGCCATCCTCGTCGTATGGTATACGGTAGGAGGCGGGGCTCCACGTGGTGGAAGTGGAAGTGGACATACCTGGAATGTGTTTTATGATTGTGTGAATTGTGCCAATTAGTTACAGTAATCCCCAAAGAACTTACCATTTTAAAATAGGAACGTACTCAAGAAACCAATTCAGTATTTTTTTGAACTCAAGCATTTAGAAAACAACTCATTCGAAATGCCTATACAGCTCTTAAAACCATGAAAAGAATATAATGAAACACACAAAGTCAATTTTCAAGGAGTCTCGCGCATTTTCATTCTTAGAAACCCCCTTTTTTGAAGAGCCTGTCACTTTCTGAAGATGTCCAATATATCTCCCGCACCGATGAATCGGGACGAAGACACTTTTTTGACGGCATATTTCACAAATTTCGGAAGAAGAGGTCCCAGAAAAAACGGACGTAGCTCCAGAATTTTTAAGAAGATGTAACGTTTTGGGACGGAGGAGAAAATTGGGAATTCGTTTCGGACTTACATCGTTTGAAATATCGGGATGATGTACTTGCTTCTTGTTGTTCTGAGACATTTTCTTCTGATTTTTCTTTGCTTTGTGCATAAATGATTTCGGGGGGATTAAATGGGTGGAGCCAGAGTCACCGTATGTGCTCAAAATTTGTACTTTTCAAGTCCAACAACCACCATCAAAACATCAGATGATTGAAATTGGAATCGAAGAAAAGCAAAATTGATGAGGAACGAATCCTGAAAATGTGAATTCAATTGAAAATTCTGAAAATGGAAATGGTTGGATGACCATAAAGCGAGTGGAATGGAACATCAGACGAGGGGGAAAAGAAGATTAAAAAAGAAGTGGGTGTCTATCAAAGTGATATAAACCCCTCTTCTTTTTCTAACTGATACCAAATACTAAACTGAAAAAGGTTCGCAAAATCAAACAGAAAAATGATTTGATAAGAGGATAGAATATTGGAAAAGTTCATACAAGGTTTCAATAGTACGGTAGGAAAACCAAAAGTCTAGCTGGTCAGTTGAAAAATAGAAAAGCTTTAAAGTTTTGAAGAAGCATAAAAAAGAAGAAGTTGAAAACTGGGGAACGAAATGATAAGAGGAGACGCAGATAATATAAGAATAAGGGAAGAAGAAAATAGAGAAGCGTCGTGTTGTAGTATTATTTTTCTCCTTCTTCTTTTTTTGTTCATCTTCTTTTGGCCACTGTCCTGTTCTATTTTACACCCACTTCTTCTCTTTCTCTTTCTCTTCTTCTTCTTCTACACTGAATATGTGACAGTATCAATTCAGAAGAGGATCTATTTTCGATTTAGAGAGACACTCTTCTACTCAATTTCAGATGAACACTGTCAAGGTCAACAAACCTTGAACAGAAAAAAAAGAAAGAAAAAGAAAAAAGAGGGCACTGTAAACTGAACTTTCTTGACCTGATCTGACACTTTGTATAATTTCTATCAAAAAAGATTCCTCGTGATCTATAATTGATCTCATGACGAAACCCGAAAAAAAAAGAAACCGTATACTGGAACATAAGACCTCCTTGCTATATGTGTCTTTTTTCGTATAGAAAGATAATTAAAAAGCGAAACTTTTTGTGACACTGAACTTTGTGATTTGGTCTGTACTTTTGCGGAAAGTTTTGGATGAAGGTGAGAACAAGCAGAACCGGATGGGTTAGGAGAAGAAGTGGATTTTGGAAAAAAAAGAGAAAGGAATGGGACGATTTTGCAGGTTTTTTGTAGTTTGGGATGTCTTCGAGAACGAAAAGATTTTATCGAAATTAGATTTTTTGTCCGTCCAGTTAATCAAGATAATGGAACGATTGGAGCTTTGCGATGTTTGGGTGTCTTATAAAAAACAATAAATACCAGGAAGAAGACCAAAGAAAATGGAGGAGATAATTTTTTCTTTTATAGAAAATCTGGGATTACTGTATGTTTGCAGCTCTATTGAAGTTTGAAATTTGGGAAAATAATAAATTGAAGGTTTTTAACCAATCTTTCAATAATGACTTAGATTCTAATTATACATAACTTTTTGACCAATTTCGGTACATTTTTCAAAAAAAAATTTCAGAATGCTGTGAAACCAGTATTAGAAGGGCCGGGTCTCTATAGTTCCCAGGTACCTCCGGCGGGCCCTTTTATTACATGAGCCCTTCAATTAGAGGGGGCCTTTTCATTTTTCCCTCCGGAAAAAAAGGCGATAAATTCGAAAAATTTGAATGGATTTCATGATCTCAAAAAGTTATAAACGATTACTGTATTTCTTGTGAATAATTTGCAACAAGGTGTGGTTTTAGAGAGCAAGACTCGGATTTTCAAGAACCTATTAATGAAGACAAGGAGTGTCAAATGACACAATCACATGGCTATTGTCACGTTGTGTGTTGAAAGCCTTTTCCCCTTTCCCTCTGCTGCATCAGTTTTTGTTGGTCCCTTCCATTTTTTCTCTTTTTCTTCTTGTTATTTCTCCTTTTTTTCTCATTTTCAGCATCCAGATAAGGAATAGAATGTTAAATGAGATGTCGTTTTGAAAAGAAGAGAGTAAATAAAAAGAGAGAAAAGAGAAAACAGAGAGAAAACGAGCAAGAATGAAAACTTTAAATAATTCTCTAGAAAAATGTGTTTGTGATAAGAATATTTACATCTGCAAGGAGAAACTAATACGAAAATTTAACAAAAATGTGTAAAACGAACGGAGCATTAAGGGCAATGAATGCAACAGGCGCACAATTACCCGGACTAGCAAAGACGGGTATATCTTTAGACATAAGTATCCTGGAAGCACCAAAATTGATAGGAAAATAATATTGCGTTTGATTCAAAACTACTAAAATTTCCAAAACGATTCCTCAAGTCGAGGTATTGTTATGATTGCTCAAAGATGAACGGAGTAACGTTGTGATTTTCTTGAGATGAAACAACTTTGACTAGCGATAACTCAGCTTAACGTTGATAAAATAATTTGAAACTCGGTCACTTTACTGATGAATTATTTACATTATTGCGCTCCAAACTTGAGCCCAGCAAAACGCTTTACTAAATTTTTAGTTCGTACAAACTTGAGTTGGGGTAGTTATGCTCCAGTTACACCTTGACAGTTAGTCAGTTGTCAGGAGTTAAATATTGGGGGAATTCGCAAAACAATTAGTACTCATTCCAACTACAGACACACTTAATCGGACAATAAAATGAAGAAAAAAGAAAGGAGAGTTGACACGTGAAAGATCATTAACTGTAAGAAGAAGAAGAAGAAACAAAATAGGGTGAAAGGGTACGGGAGAAGAAGAAAGAGAAGAGTCTTATCAGAAATGATCAAAAATTGAATTGTGACTAGAAATCTCTTACGAAATGCTGAAACCAGAGGGCACACCACACATTCGTTGTGATCTTGATTTTTGGATAACAAGGTTTTGGAGTAAGAATACAATGTGATGATTATTGATGTATACAACAGTGAGTATGGAATGTATGAGAGACACAGAGAAATAGAGAAAGTAGTATGGTCTTATCAATTGTGAACTGTTCTTCTTCTTTCTTCTTTTTCTTTTTTCGATATTGTCCTATGACTTCTGTACGCACCCACTCCTTAGTACACTTTCTATGAATTGATTTTTTTTCGTTAACAGAGTATTATTTTTGAACCAACCAGTGATCGAAATCTCTTCTTGATGTTCTAGCCTTTAATTTACACATTTTCCTCTATACTTAAATTTTCCAAAAACTAGAAAAAGATCTCTGATATAAAACTTTTTACCGAATTCTTTTTAGAGATTCTAGATCGTGTTTTAAAGATAAAAAAGGTATTTTCTTCTTCTTTTTTCTCTGTTTACCAGACTGATCATCTACAGAACACGAAATATATAGATATGTATACAAATGTTGTTCATGGTTTAGTCAATTGGGGTGTTGTTGTGAAACTTGATCAACTAACTGTGAACACATGTGCACGAGGAAATGAGTTTTGAAAAAAAAAATTATAAGATCAGAGATATTTTTTGTCGATTTTTAACTTCCGGGCAATCTAGTACATTTCCGGCGGATTTTCAACTAAAAGCTGAATATAGTGGGTTGATTGACTCGGAGAAAACCCATTGGTTGATTTGGATTGGATTAAGGAAAAGGGCATGCAGAATTTTGTAGGGAAATTCAATCTGAAAAACAAACATCGAAATGCTCAGATTCTCAACTATTATCACATTTATGATCATTTCCATGCTTTCCTGATCATTTCTATTACCATATGATGATGATTCTATTTCGAAAGATTTGTTAAGTTTTTCACGCATATTTTTATTGCTGGTATTTATTGAGACTGAGTTTTTCATCCATTAAAATCTCACTTCATCAATCATTCAAATCGTCACTCCCGCACTAAACATTAAATTATATGGGCGCAATAAATTGCTCCTCCGCATACTCCGCCTTTTCCGTTTTCTTTTCTTTTCTTATTCTTTTTTTTGTCGAGAAGAAGGAAGAAAAAGGGAAGACAAAAAAGTGACGGGTCATAAAACAAATTGTCAAAAAGAATTGAGCGTTCGAGATGTATAAAAAAGCACAGAAGACACCGGAAAAAACGGCAAGAAAAAAATGGATAGCCTCTATTCTCTGTTGGCCTCTATCTCTATTCCTTCACGATTCCTTTCACGGGGCTTTCCGACGAGACACACAGACACCCCGAAACTCAAAGCATGAGGAGTAGCGTGTAAATAGGAGAGACGCAGAACAAGTGCACAGAAAAAACGGCAACAACCTACGGGAGGCGCAGTTGAAATAGCGTTACATTGGAGGAGAGACTTGGAAAAAAGAAGTGAAAAAAAATGAAGAAGAGGGTGAGAGAAGCGACGCAAAACTCTCATTGATTTTATGTTCCCCCAGAGATGAAGCTAAAATGGAGGAATCCTATTAATTCCGGACTACTAATAATCTTAGAATAAATATAGGATGAGACTAGTGCAGGAGAATTCTGAAGACATCCGTAACAAATTAGGCCAGAGAATACAAAAAAGAAAACGAATATCGTTATCGCATTCGACGAACTCCGGTGAAAAGATTTTCAGGTGAGATTATATGAACTAATGGAAGGGACAAAGAAGAAACGATTTTGTATTTAGAAGGCCATGGAAAAAAAATATTAGAAAACATAGCTTTAAAATCAATAAGAATTCCAGAAGGGTTCCAAAAATCTATAATACTGTGTTAGTCATTCAATAACCTACTATCTGACTGTATGAGAGAGAGAGAGAGAGAAGAGAGGGGAACAGTTGGCCTCGTCCTCCTCTCGAGGGACCATCCCAATCAATTGATTCTCCGTGTTCACCTCTTCGGGGGTTCACTTGCGTAATCCTCTTTGCATAGTGGTCTTCTTACACAGTCTTAACAAAAAAGAAGGCTGAGAAGAGAAGGGTTTTTTTATGATTCTCCATGGAATTGAAAGACACGGGAACAACTCGAATACGAAAGTATCATCTGAATGATATTAGAAATTGAAAATTCAGAAGAAACGAGATGCCTAGAAATGGACATTTTAATCAGGAAGTTGGATGAAAAGAAACATATTTAGAAGAGCATAATCTTAGTATCCTTGATGCGACTAATGTCGGGAGGATGCCAGTCCCTTATAATTGTGAAATCTCAATTTTTCAGACAACCATTCGATACATACCTTTCTTAATGTTCACACACAGTAAAACCTGTAATAGAAGAGCCCCCCCCCCCACAATATCAAGTTTAACCTAATTTATCTCGGCTCTTATCAGATATACCAAAAATATGTCTACTGATAAAATGTTTTTCATGTTATGATAAACAATTTATTAGTTGTCAGTTTTTTAATATCTTTCACAGAAACCGAGACAAATTGGCTTAAAGTGAAAAGCTAGGGAACCCTTCTATAACAGGTTTTACTGACATTTTTCAAAATGTGTAGTTCTTAAAAAATGACAGGAACCAAACGGAAAATCGAGAAAACGTTTTCAAAAAAATCACATCAATTTTCCAATTTTCAGCAAATTCCATAATTCTAAAAAATTCCAAAAAAAATCCATTTTTTATGTGAAAAAATTCAGTTAACTTTGAAGTTCTACAAAAGTAGTCTGCAATTTTTTTGCTTTGCCTGAAAATTTCAGGTTATACTGAACAAAGAAAGAGCTTCATTTTTGTAATTGGAAACTGTTTTGTAAAATTTCAACAAAGCGAGATATGAGAGGTTTTAATGTGTCACAACTCCTATTTCAGTATTATCTGAATGATATTGCTAATTTTATATATTGCTAATTTTGACTTTTTATGCATCTTATCAGAATGGGAACTGACAAGGAAACCTTTTAAGTTGTCCGGCTGATTTGCATAAATCATAGTTGCAAAATCTCGGGCCGGCCCGGCCGGCCCGGGGTACCTGCAGACGTTGATTTTTTTGAATTTTTTGAAATTTTTTTAAAAAATTTAGACAAAAACGACCTATCTTTACTATTAACAATCACCAAATTCTGTCTGTGTGTCCGTTTGTTCCCGGTTCCACGACCCTAGCGAAGTCCCCAGTAGACCGAAAATTTTCAAATGTTCACAGATGATCCGAAATAGCAGCGAGATGATGCCCGTCTATTTTATGTTTCGAAATTTTGAGTTTGACTTTTATTAGTCTAAGTTTTTTATATTTAGTCTAAGTTTTGAAAGAAGAGAGAAAGAAAAAGTTCAGTAAACTTTAAAATTCTGACTTTCTGAATCCCCTAACTTCTCAAAAACTGAATTTCGGAGATTCTGATTCACGAAATTTGATTATTTTTTTTCGAAAATGCGAAATTTCTACCCTTTCATATGCTTCATACATTTTGGTTTCACTCTGAAATTCTAATTCTTTGGTTTCACTCTGAAATTCAGAAATTCGGAAAATTGGAAAAACGGGAACTCGAAAATACCGAGATTTGAAACTTCGGGAATTTTAAAGTTTGAAAATCAGAGAATTCAAATGTCCAATGTTTCGGAAATCCAGAAGTATAAAAATTCAGATATTCGGAATATTACGAAATTAAAAATTTTGAAAGTTAGAACACTCGAAATTTTGAAAATCCAAAATCTCGAAAGCAAAAAACCAGAAAAACCAAAAACTTAGAAGCTCAAAATATCAGAAAGCCCAAGTTCGGAATTTAGAAAATTCGAAAATTCATAAACTTTGTGAATCAAAAACTCAGAAATGTGTTTTAGAGAAAATTCTGAAAATCTTTTCGTGTTAAAATTTTGGGAATTTGTGAAGTAGAATCTCAGAAAGTCGGAAATACGGAAACTCAAAAATACAAAATTTCAGAAATTATGAGTTCTGAAATGAAGTATTTTAATAGAAAAAACTGTGAGTTCTAGAATCGCAGTTCCGAAATTTCAGGACTTCTGAATTTCGAAACTTCTGAAAAAATTATAAGTTGTCAAAATTCAAGATACTCGGGAATTCAGAAAAATTATTAGTTCTAAAAATATGGAAATTTTGAACAGTTCGTGTATCAACTAAGACACATTTCTGATCTACATTTCTGATTTATCTGTCCAAGCCCAAACTCAATCGGTTAAGGGTGTTGTAAGCGGGAGCCAGAAGGTTTAGCCCCGAAGGGGCATAAGCAGACTGTCACTCCAGTTTATGAAAGTTGACAACAAAATCAACTAAAACTTCGTCTTTTGATTCTTTCCGATTCGGAGATTCAAACGTTTTTAGTGAAGCCAGGAGATTGTAGCCGCCGACAGGCGGAGGAAATCGACTGGTTTTTCGATTATTTCATACTTTGTTAAATTTGTTGAATAATGCAACCTTTTTTCTTTTTTAATTCAAAAAAATTTCCCAATATTTCATTGGAAAATTTTCAACAGGGCCGGGCCGAGAAAATTCGTCTACCGACCCGGCTTCGAAATCGCTTAAGAAACCTCTAAAGTGCTGAAATTTCAGTTTCAGTACCAAAAATCGCCTTTTCCGTGCAAAATCGGCGATTTTCAAATGCGATTATCTCCACTCCTGAGAGGTTTCAGAACATGAAATTTTTTGTATTATACTTAAAATTATGTAGAATTTCATATTTCAACATTTTTTCTCAAAAAAGAATTTTTGAAAAAATTCGAAATTTTCCTACCCTTTGGATGGGATGATTTTCCCAAATTTTTTGCCTTTTGAATAAGTTTTCTGAAGAAGTGATGGTAATCCTCAAAAATTTTTTTGACAAATCGAATCATACAAACTTTTCAATTGTATAATTATTCAAATTTGATCATAGTCCTTGCAGACCCAAATACAATACCTTAAAACCGCTACTTTACAGTGATTCGAACTTGAAGTTTTTTCAAAATTTTGGAAAAATATTTTTCTTCAAAATTTCGTCTCCGCTTTTAAAAAGTGATCAATATTCTGATAAATGAGAAAAAGTGACTCCAGAATGTCGCAACCCTATGAAACCAAAAAAAAATCAAAAGGGTGGGAGTCGAAGAGCGGATAAGAGAAATCAATGGTAAATTCAGGACAAACTTTGGACTGAAATTTCAGCACTTTAGAGGTTTTTTAAGCAGATTCTGAAAACGGTTTTTTAGGTTTTGAAAGACGCTCTTTCATTCTCTACGGTTGGTTTATGCAAATCAGCCGGACAACTTAAAAGGTTCCCTTGTCACTTCCCATTCTGATAAGATGCATGAAAAGTCAAAATTAGCAGTTCCCTTGTGAGTTGTCAACATTTTTTGAATTTTTTATACAGACGCAAATTATCAACAAAAGAAATACAAAAATATCATTTATTCAATCTTGATATGAAACTTTTTTAAACAACTTCAGATAATTTCAATCCGAGTTAAGCTGTAGCCGACATTGGGATGGTGACAGTTCCAGCTGGAGTGACGGCAGCGAAAGCAGCCTGAGCGTCAGTGGCATCAGCTGGGGCGTTGGCGAAGTGGATGACGAGCTTGTCCTCCTTTGGTGCTCCAGCAGTGCGAGTGATGGTAACGTCCTTGGATCCAGATGGGTCGATGAATCCGAACACTGGGGTGATACGGTACTCATTGTTGTTTGACGACTTGATCTGAAATAATTTGGCGATTGAGATGGGACGTCTTCTGAATTGTGGATACCTTGAAGATAAGCTTGTCGGCTCCTCCATTGACCAATTTGTGGGTCGAGGTTCCTCCGGCGGCTGGAACGGTGCATGCTGGTGGATCGGCGGTCAAAGACATTTTTTGGCTTCGATTGGAACTTCCTATAGAAGACTGATAAATCTGTGGATTCTCCCGACATTTATAGGTTTTTCTTATCAAGATGAACTCATTTTTATCATAAGAAATAGATTCGTGGCCCCTTCGGTCAGACGTCTTGCTTAAACATGAGAAAAAATAATAATTTCTGACCTTTTAAAAAAATGTGTCAAGAGAAAATAATATTCAAAAACATCGTCGGTAGTACTTTGACACAATTTTCATAAAATAACCGACATGTATAGGATTTCAGATGTTTAGTCGTTGACACTTCAAGTACATGGGTCTTTCAATTTCAGGGGCTCTTCTAATAAAGGTTACACGGTATTTCTCCCTACAGTAATCCTTTTCAATTTCGAATATTTTTCCCACAGTAATCCTTTTTCACTTTTCGAATATGCTCCCCTACAGTAATCCTTCCTATTTTCGTATATTTCCCCCTGCAGTAAACCTTTTTGTCGTGAAAGATGAGATTTGATATTTAAAGTTGAGCGCAGCTCTAGAGCTACGTTTTCTATAACATTAAATAAAAATATCAGTCGGAACCTAATACCTGAAAATTATTTACTTCTGCGACAGAAAAACAAAAAAAGCAATTTAACAAGAATGTAATCTCAATGTTCATTTTATTCCAAATAATCAAAGATATCAGTTCACCAGTTGTCGATTCATTCACTTTTCTTTTCCAAAACTCACGAAAGCGAACATTCTGACAACAGAAATGAGGAAGACGTACTGCATTGTCAAGAGCATCATATCGAAATCAGTTTGACAACGGAAAGCAATTGAATATTGAATTAGGCAGATTGCAAGAAATGTGTACATAATGACGATTGTCAAGAATGCGCCGTCCATTCCGGAGAAGAAAAATCCATGTGCCAAATGGAAAATCATTGATGATCCAGCAACGAATCCAAGGATCTTCTGTCTGTTATCAGTATGAGCTAGAATGAGTGGATACGAGAAGGAAGAGATCTGAAAAACTCAATGTCATGAACCACTTTTAAGTTTTTAAAAGCTGAACTAACGATTTGAGTCAAAACAGAGAATGGAACAGATTCGAGCCAGTCATTTTGGTTGATGAATCCAATAAGGGCAGATTGAAGGAAGATGAATCCAGCACAGGCGATTCGTTTTTCGGCCAATGATCTCACTTTAAGATTTCGATAAACATAGGTGGCTATTATTGGAACAACAATAACTACGAGGATGATTGCTCCAACATTTAGGAAGATGATTCCGAAGACTGGAGCAGTTACATAAGATCCTATGCATCTGGAGAACGTCGCAATGACCAGAAGGAATATTGAGTTGGCAAATAACTGAAAGCAGATAGATACATTATATGTTTCAACGAAAAATTACTTTTGAGATGTTGAATCCTGAAATCTTTTCCGGTGGAGACAACTCCATCATCGACTCCAAGAACTTGTTAGCATCTTCTTTGAATGTTTGCTGAAAAAAAGTTGACATTCAAAATTATTACTCTGGACTACAGTAATCGGCTTTTTTTTAATTTTCAAGGTTAAATCTGAAAACTATAGTAATCCCCAATTATTCAATTTAGAAACTATTTCGTTTCGAAAACTACAGTATTTACAGATATTTTGATTCTTACCGAGAAACTATACAAATCGTTTGCAGTTTGCCCAACTGTTTCTGGGAGCTTCTTCAGATTCTTCTCATAGTAATCATGAATATCTGACCCTAATTCAGAATAGTTTCTGTAAACGTCACGCAGTACATGTTTCAGTTCGGATCCTTCGTTTTTGGCTGCTTCAGCAATGTCTGTAAGACGCTCATATCCATCGCCTGAACTTTTCTTTTTTCTAAAGACTATCTATAATTATGTTTGCTCTCACTTGCATCTTGTGGCATTCTTGATCAAATCGTGAAGAGAAATAAGTACGAGAATATTCAAGTAATATTTTAAATTTAAACGATAAGAAGAACCAAGAGAAAAAAGACGATAAAAAGTTGGGTCGAAAATAGATCTTCACGGAAATTAAACCCAGAAAAAAAAAGAAAAAGCAGTGTTAACCATTTACACGTGAACTTCCAGGATTTGGTCTTATCAGTTTAAGAGATCTGGGGGAAAGATCTGGAGCAGAGATAAGAAAGCGCTATGAAAGGGAAGAAACTCCAGTAGAATCTCCATCGAGTACTACACTCCATCAAATCGCCATGGCTCAATCCGTCCCACCAGGAGACATCCAAACCCAACCAAACGCCAAGATCGTCTTCAATGCTCCATACGACGACAAGCACACCTACCACATCAAGGTGATCAACTCGTCCGCCCGTCGTATCGGCTACGGTATCAAGACCACCAACATGAAGCGTCTTGGCGTCGACCCACCATGCGGAGTTCTTGACCCAAAGGAGGCCGTCCTTCTCGCCGTCTCTTGCGATGCCTTCGCTTACGGACAAGAGGTAAGGATTCTGAATTCAAAATGAATTCTTCTGAATCTCTTCTATTTTTCAGGACACCAACAACGACCGTATCACCGTCGAGTGGACCAACACCCCAGACGGAGCTGCCAAGCAATTCCGCCGCGAGTGGTTCCAGGGAGACGGTATGGTTCGTCGCAAGAACCTCCCAATCGAATACAACCCATAAGATGATGACGTCGTCTTTAAAACCGCGATCTCTTTTTGTCTTGTTTTCAGACAATTTAAATAAATGATTAGGTTTTGTCTCATTAGTTGATAGTTCATCAGTAAAAAACTGATGTGAGAACTACCGTAATCCTCAATTCTTCAGCAAGTTATCACATCGGAGACTTCCAAATACCGTATTCCCTATTCAGGAAAATTAGTTTCATTCCGGATTCCGGATCCCGTTTCTTGAAAAAGCCATTCCGGACATCTCCACACGAAAACTACAGTAATCGAACTCATTGAAGGCGCATTTAAAGGCGCAAGAGCAAACTCCTGTATTTCCAGCCTATTTTAGTGTAGTCGTTTTTCGCGTTTCGTTGTATCTTTTAGATATCAATTCAATCTCACTGTTTTTAAAAAGGCCTCGATGAACGAATTTTCAGATTTTTTGCATGGATTCATTCGATAAAATTTACAGGGGTTTGGCGAAATTAGTATAGACAGAAATATTGAGAAATGTGTGCAGACAATTATCATGGAGAATCTCAGTCTCGAAGTTCAGCAAGCCGTTGAGCCATTCCTTCGAAGTCTTCGGCAGCCGGAGTGACAACTCCACCGATATTCGATTTGACGGCAAGTGGAGCTTTGCCAAGCTCTCCTTGAGTGACTTCCCAAAGGATATTTTCCACTTCTTCCTGAAACATTTTTATTAATAAATAAAAATTTATAAATAAACATTCATAACACTTATGATCAGTGCTGCCCAATAAAACAGATAACTTACCTGAGCTTTCTCTTCGAGATCAGGTGCCTCTACACTCTCCAACGTTTCTTCTATCATCTCCTCTATGATTCCCAGCTTCATCATTTCAGCGGACATCTCTCTCATTGTTTTCATAATTTCTGGGACCTTCACCAACTGTTGCATGCTCTTCATGACTTCTGTGGACTTTTGAAGAGATCCAGCCATTCTCATTGTAGCCAACTGTTCCTGCATGCACATTATTACCGAGTTGATTTGAGCTTTCGAGCAATGTATTTTGCTGATTGCCTGAAAAAAAAAAGCGAGCCAATGATCAAAGCTTCTCATCAATTGCGTACTTTTCTAGATTGAATCATCGACTTTGCCAGAATCACGCAGACGTCTTTATCTCCTTTCTTGGCTGCTTCCTTGATTTCTTTGGTGACTTTTTGTTCTTCTCGCTGTATGGAATACACTTGACGATCCAATGCTCTCATCTCCTGTCGCATTTTTCGCTGGAGCTCGCGCACCTCTTCTTTTGGATCTTTTTTCTTGCCGAACAGACCCATCATCTGAAAATTGATAACATTCACATTGCGAAATCTTAAGTAAACAACAAAGTTAGCTGATAGTGAGAGTTGGACTCAAATATGTTATTAAACGAGATTCCTCCGATAAATATAGAAATTCAGAAAAAAACTCACGAATTTTTTGGGAGAAGAAGAAGTTAATGGAAAAGTACCGAACTTTTGTGTCAATCGGTTAGAAAAACCCGAAAATTTCAAGCCAAAAAATGGTGGCCGAAGTGACCATTTTCTAGGCCACGGACGAAGGTTCTCTAGCCCCGCCCACAAAACCCTGCCGCAGTGCGAGGCGGGCGCGTGCTTTTTTTGGGAGCTCTATCGATTTTCAGCTCGCCAACAGCTTCTTTTTCCACGTTTCGGAATTTTTTCACCGATAAAAATTGAAAGGTTGGATTCTGGCGAAGTTAGTTATCAAATGGTATCCTTAAAGACATATCTCATTGAGAAAACGCAGAAAAAATTGCGAAATTTTTGAATTATGACCAACTTTTATATTGCTCTTAAAATGCAAGAATCATCTCTATTTGCTTATGAAATTCTTGTATGAATCATTATTCCGTGTTAGTGAAATCACTTTTTCAGGTAAATACAGAAGTATCTCATCGATTTATGTCCATCGCAAATCTCAACAGACCAGCGGGTAATTATCTTTGTTTTTAAACGTTTTCTAGTTGCTTTTTTCAGACGCCTTCGAACAACTTGAAACCGAAGACGGTGTCCGACAAGGAGTTTGCCACATCCGTATTCAACAGCGTACTGGTAGAAAGACTATCACCACTGTTCAAGGTAATTTAAACCAAACCATTCTTTTCGAAGTATTTGTGTTTTGAGGAATCGGAACCGAGTACGACCTCAAGAGAATCGTCCAGTACTTGAAGAAGGTGAGCATTCGTTTATTGTGATAGACAAAAGTCCGCTTTGTCTTGCTGTTCTCCTTCATTTCTGTTTATGTATATAGTGCTATCACTGGAAAAGTCCATTCAGGCGCATTCTCACTGAAGGAAAGCTGGAAGCAGCAAAGCAACGACTAACTATAAGCTTCGAATCCATTCAATTTTCAGTGAGAATGCGCCCTCACTTCCGCACATTGGCCAAACTGGTCGTTTTTCGCTGTTTCTCTGTCTACCTTGTTTCTTCGTGGTTTGTTCCCGATGAAGTGTATCAATCCGCCGAAGTAGCCCACCACCTCGTCTATAATACAGGCCATCTTTCTTGGGAATGGCGTCATTCTCTACGTTCATTCTTCCACCCAGCTTTAATCGCTCTAATTTTAAAAGTCCTGAAAATTCTCTCTCTCGACACCCAATATCTGGTTTATCATGTTCCTCGTTTAGCTCACGCTCTTCTTTTTGCTTTATCAGACCTCTCTTTCTACAAAACTTGCTTACGCTTGTGTAAAACTAAAGGTATAGCAGAAAATTCATTCATTACCTATCTAAGCTCCTGGTTTGTCTTTTATTGTGCTCCTAGAACATTATCAAACTCCCTTGAGACATCTCTTACTTTAATTGCTTTGAATTGGTTCCCTTTTGAGAGAAGTTATAAGGGTATTACTTGGCCTTATATAGCTTTTGGTGTTGTGACAGTTGTAATTAGGCCCACTGTTGCTTTGATTTGGATAGTTTTTGGCCTTCACCACTTGTACTATAATCCCCGCCCATTCCGTTCACTTCTCCGCACCGTATTACCTGTTGCTTTACCCATTTTGACCATCACAGTCATAATTGATTCCTGGGCTTATGGAAAGCCGACTATCCCATTATGGAACTTCCTTCAATTCAACGTCGTGCAAGGAGGCAGCTCATTATTTGGCGTTCACCCATGGCACTGGTACATCACCTCTGGAGCCCCGGCTGTTCTCACTGTTCAATTACTACCAATCTTCGTCGGCATCGTGGGACCCAGCATTTTCCGCCCAACCCTTCTGCCGCTAATCGCTACTTTATTCTACATCACCGTCCATTCGTTGCTTCCACATAAAGAGCAACGCTTTCTCCTCCCAATCATACCATTGCTATGTATTTATGCTGGAGGAGCATTTCAAGGGTTAAAAAAGTGGCGAGGAAGCGCAATTGTTGCAATGGTCACCATCAACATTGGAATCGCCATATTCACTTCACGGTATCACCAAGTCGGACCATTCGCTGCACCTCGAAGAATTATGGAAGAATGGAGAGACCATCATGGCACACTTTCTGTTGCCGCTCTAATGCCTTGCTATTCTCTTCCTGGACACGCATTTTGGCATACACATCTCAAAACTTTGCGTCTTCTGGACTGCTCACCTGATCTGATGCACATCCGAGGACCTAATGAACTCGATGAAGCTGATCAGTTTCATTCCAACTCTACCAAGTGGCTCATCGAGAAGTTTGCATTGGAACATCAGAATTATCAACGAGTGCTGATGTATGAAAAAGTTTATGAACCTGTTCGTCGTTGGTTTGAAGCAAATGGATGGTATCAGTGTATCGAGAAGATCTGGCATTCGATAGTATTGACTTCTTCCAGAGAAGACAATTATATGATTGTGTTGTGTCGAAATGGGTATTAGCTTTCTTTCTCTCTATCTCTTACAAAATTCATCATATCGGTATTATTCTCTCATGGTTGTAATGCTTTAGTTATCTCCAATGTTTAACGTTTTATTTCGAGCTTGTTTAATAAATCCATGTCATGGAATCTAGTTGATTTTCTATATTTTTTTTTAAAAATTACTTTTCTAATTATTCGGAATTTCAGAAGCACAGTTGTAACGGAACGATCGTCGAGCATCCAGAATATGGAGAGGTTATCCAATTGACAGGAGATCAGCGTGAGAAAGTCAAGGATTTCCTTATCAAGGTATAAATTTTCTATTTTAATTTCAAACATCGTAGTAAAAATTGAATTGCAGGTCGGTATTGTGAACGAGTCCAACTGCAGAGTGCATGGTTTCTAATTCGCATAAGTTCTACTACAAAAGTGATGGCGTCGTTCTCCACCTCCTTCTCACTGCTTTCTCTTTGAAGTATTGAAATTCCTCCCCAATTTTTCGCTTTGGTCTGTAACTGTTTTTTCTTCCCTCTATCTCTGGGATTTTAGTCCCAATCTAAAATATTATCTTATCCGTTTCTTTTCGTCTTCAAATGAACTTGTTATCTCGTTGATTGTTCAAAAAGTTTATTGAGAAAAACGATCAGATTCAAATTCAAGAAAAATCCCTGTCGCCGGATTCTGATAGAAAAAAGAAATTCAAGTGAATGTTGGAAGTAGAAGAGTGATCAGAGAGGAATACCCATTTTGAAAGTTTGCAGTTTGAAATAAAAATGTCAGATGAAAATTATTAGAAGAACCGAAGAGAAGACTAGTGGAGATGAACATCGGGGAGAAGGATAAGAGAAACAAGAAGTGTCTACAGTACAATTTGCCGATCATCGAAGAAATGAGAACGACGCATTGCATTGATTTCGTGGCGAGTTCTTCTATTCTTCGGGGTCGTGAAATCATCTGGTCCACATCTTCCAGACGATCGGAACGGTGCCGATGTAGCAGTCACATTTCGGTTTTCATCGATCTGTAAATTATGCATTTGAGAAGAGAAAAAAAAATAATGCTCGTACCTTCGTCAATGCAGTAGAATGCCGATTAAATGCTCTCGGTGGTCTCTCTTGAGTGTTCATTGGTTGGAGTTGCTTGAAGTTTGTCTTCTGCCATTGAACAAAATGAAGTGTACATGGAAGATGACTCTCGAGAACTGAGTAATGAGTCAGCATCATTTGAAGAGTCGGAAATGGTTTTTTGGTGGCAGAGAGCTGAAAATAATTTGTTTGAATATCAAAAAGGGGAGTTTTGCGTCTAATACCTTGAGTCTGAAACCATGCTCGTTTCGGATAATAAGATAATGAGAGATGCCAGCTGGATTATGAGTTACTGGAACTCTCATTGAAAGCGCCAAGCACTTTGATTTGCTCTCTGAATATCGGATCACAAACGCTCCTTCCGGTTGGCTCAGCAGATTATAAACCATCGAGTCTCTGGAAAAATTGATTAGGATTAAAAGTCTTTTAATTGATGGTTTGTCATATGGAAGGAACATAAGCCTAGGGATAAGCATTCAAAAAAGAAGGATGAGTTAATTAGCAAGGTTTCGGGAAGAGCCAGCTGTCAACTAAGTGACATTCCCATGCTATAGCGTTTCTTTGTTTGTGCAAAAGCATGCTCACAGGTGTCCGTCCTAATTAGATAAATTTTGAATAATAAACTCACTTTGTTGGCTGACCCACAAAATAACTGCAGTTATCGAGCTGTTTCATCAATGCTTGATCAATCGGATAGATCCATTCACCGAGCTTTTCGTCGAAAATCAACGATGTTTGTGGAGCAGGTGGAACAGGTGATGTGGCTGTGGAAGATGATGAGCCATTTGATGAACTAGAAGAAGCAACAGAAGACGTGGATGTTGTTGTAGATGATGCACACATCTCCGTTGGCCTTGGTTCTTCTGGAACTGGCGATGAAGCAGCACAACGCATCTGACTTTGGAGTTGAAGAAGTTGCTCACGAGTTGGAGTTGGTGGTTCAATTGTGCTCATCTGGAAAAGTAAAAAAAATATTTGGAATAAAGTATTTGTATATAGTTTGGTCGTCAAAAAAAGGCATTCGAGAACTGTCAGAGGTGGACCTGGCAACAGTTACGTAATGTTTTATAACACTAGAAATGGACCTTCTTGAAGAGGAGACGACGGGGAGAATAGGTAAGAGAATGACGCAACTAAATACTACCTTCCTGTGAGGAAACTCCAAAAAAGAAGAAACGATTATTCATGATTCAGTTAATATCACATCTTGATTTAATATTTATCAGGTGATAACATTTTATCTATGACAGCAGATTAGTGTTAACTGATCAATAAAAAATAGGCTTGAGGGTATTGTGGTATTAGTCTAAAACAGAAAGTCCCCGATTACTCGAGCATCAGTAGCGTCTATCACCGTAAAACATGTATTAGAAGGGCCCTCCTATTAAGTTTCTTGAAATTGAATTTTTCCTTACGTTTTCAGTGAAAAATATTCCGGAAATTCCACAATTTTAAAGAAATAGGTTTTAAAGAAACAATGTTTTTTTTTGCTCAAAAACTTGCTCAATTCAGGTGAAATTGATAGATTTTCATAAATTTTTGACAAAATTGACCGAATTTTTTGATGAAAAGTTTCGGGAAATATGGCCAGAAAAATAGAAGGACCCTCCGGTGGTACCATGGAACAATAGAAGGTCCGGCCCTTCTAATACAGGTTTTACGGTAGCTCCCTTTATAAAGTATTCAATGTTATGGCAGTTCCATGTCAAGTAAAATCATGTACTCGTAGACTGACATGTCACACTCATGTCCTTGTCATGTAACATGACCTGATAACCATCTAGGAAAGGAAGTGGGTAGGCACGTGGTTACGTAACTGGAAGGCCAGGGAATGGGACCGGATGATTATAGGGTTCGAAGCGAAAAACGGAACGGAGAGAGTGCTCTCAATTAGAACGGTCACTTACTCTTTTCGGATTCACTGATGACGTAGAGCTGGATAGACGATGAATGGCCGATGAGAAGACCGCTGACACTGGACGGCGTTTTCTGAAAAATGGGGAGCTAAAGAAGAGACAACAATGATTATCGGGGACAACGGAAGAGGGGTGAAGAAGATAATTACGGTCATAAAATCACTGGGAGGGTCCAGTTTTATGGCTTTGGGGTTGGGATTAACTCTACGGATATTCAAAATTAATCGATTTGTTCCAGTATTGAAAAATTAAAGATAATTGACAACGAACCTTTTACATTGTCCAGTCTCGTCAACCGTTTGACTGCCCTTTTTCCCCAAAAATCGGTTGAGAAATACTGTAGACGCACTTCGCTTCTCAGTCATTGATGACGCAGTGTTCGTAGGATGCATCTGAAAATTAATGGAGATTCAAAGTTTAAGCAAGTTGTTGGTAGCAGGAAGGAAGAACATACAAGACAATAAAGAATGTCTCTAGTGGGAAGTGCTCTCTGGGAGACGTAACGTACGAGAAACACTTGATTTGTTTGTGTTCGACGCTCCGGTTACCATCATAAACGGACGGGAGGCCTAAATGTCAAACACTTTCTTTTAATGGGCTAACAGGTTGTATGAGGTAGAATAGCTCTCTTTGGGGATAAGATTTAGATACAAAATGTACAATGACTGGGATTTGAGAAAGTAAAAAAAAAATCTGAAGCAACTGGAAGAAGGACGAAGGAACTTCATTATACGGCAAGTTTCAATTACAAAGTATGTATGACATGTATGGAGCTATAAGATTCCTCACTATATAACATGGAAAATGAGCTGACATCAGTTCCTCGGCCCTTATATGCTCCCCGGGGTGTTAGATTCTATGGCTCCGCCCATTCCCACCCATCCTTCTTCTCCTCGAGATGGGCCAGGAATTAAAAATAACAATAGAACGGGGTGGGATGCTAATCTCGTATGAGAGAAGGAAGAGGTTGGCTGCAATCGTAAATGATCATAAACTCGAGTCGGCGGGCTTTTCCGGAGAAGACAGTTGTGATGTAATCACAAAAGAAAGCGAAACGAGAAGGGATCGTAAAATAGTTGGAGGAGAAGAGCAGGTGTCTATTCGAGAGTAATACGCGTTCTCATGGTTATCAAACAAGATAATAACGGTGGATGGTTCCAGTGATAACACCGAAGATGGGCGGTCCATGTTCAAAAAAAAACCGAAAGGTGTCTTCGGAAATGACGCCTTATATGATTTTCGAAAATGCTCGGAGGCTAGATTTGCTTATTTTTTATTGAATAAGCAAGCCATCAAGAACCCTTGCATAAAGGGAATAAAAACTACATACCGTAAACACTCTATTAGAATGCAACTCTTGACTTTCAACGTCTATCTCAATTCCCGGAAAAGATAGAAAAAAGAGGTCATTTGACAAAATATATTTCAAATCAAGTTAAACATTTTGTCAGTTGACCTTTTATTGATAGCTTTTACAGGAACCGAGATAAACTGGCACAAATTAGGGGACCGTTCTATTACAGGTTCTACGGTAATAGTAATTACAAATGTCGGGAAAGGGCGAAATTTGGAGGATGAAAATGAGGACGAGGAGGAGTGTTGATCTATGATGTTATCACAAGATTTTAACAAACAACCGTTCTTAAAGTACTCGAGAACTGAGAGCTTCAAAAAAGTAATTACTCACCGAGGATGTGGAAACTGTTGACTTGGGAATAGGTTGGATGGATGATGCGATCACTTCTGGACTGGCTCTTTGAAGTAAGTTTTGGATCTCTTCGGCCTGAAATTAGAAAAGTTTATGGAATCTACAGTACACTAGGAGAGATAAATTGAGATATATAAAGTACACTGCCATCTGTTGTTTATCTAAATAGCTCTATAAAGAAGGACACACACGCTTCATCTTCATGCCCCATCTTTAACCAGATAGATTCAGAAAACAGATTTCAATCTTCCTCTTCCGCTCAAGGGAATTGGTGAACAACTGGTGGCTATGGGGGCGGAGACCGAAAAGATTGAATCGGAAGAAGAATAAGAAAAAAGAAGAAGAATAAAGAGGAATAGGGCATTGGGTCAGTGATGAATGGGTGTTTCGAGATGGAAACGAACGAAACGCGGGAAGAATTATGATGATGGCCGGGTGAAAACTGTTGATTAAAAAAGTAATTAGATTTCTGGAGAACAATGAAGAAGGAGGAGGCGGGGCGATTGGGGGTGGAGGGGCGAGACAATGCGTTCGCGCTGGTGCCTTTACCTATGGTCCCAGTGAGGATTATATGTGTCAACTGTAGATATAGTTAAAGTGTGAGAGCATAGTATACAAAGTGTGAACCGGATTGGCACTCAAAAAATCCATGATAACCAGAAAAATACATTTGGGTGAGTGAGAGTTCCAACTGGGACCCCAAATGGTTGAGATGGTTGAAGAGGGACTCCAACAAAAATTTTTTTGGGTTTTTTTGCATTAAAATGTTTTCAAAGTTATGTATTCTCATGATAATTTTTCGAAAAAAATTTAGAATAATTCGAATTCTCTGAAAAACGCTGTCGAAAATGCTATCCTCGTCCAAGAGGGTCGCGGGGATCCTAGTCCAGGGTATTTTTTGAAAAATAAATTTGTTCAATTGAAAACTTCACGAATAGAACAACAAAAGTCTGAAAACTGGCTGAAATTTTGCATGAAAACAATTTGGGCGAGAACTGAGCGCATTTGAATTTTTGCCGATGGTTTCAGAGATTTCAAATTTTTTCGGAATGTCTTCAGAGTAATATATGAATATCATCAATAACTTTAGGGATATTTTAATGCTAAAAAATACAAAAAAAAATTTGTGGGAGTCCCTCTCTAGACTAGATTCAGTAGCACTGACACTTTCCTATCCAGAACCATATTTTTTCCGTTTTCGATTGGTGGGCATGACAACCGCAGGCTATAAAACTAGCGTCTACTAACGGCTTCGTCGTATTTCGAAACCTTTCTAATTCAGCCAAAGATCCGAAATATGGATAGAGAAATCTCATTGAGAAAACTTCTTCTAATTGAGGCCTGGGCCACCGTGCCAGGGGGTGTATCTAGATCAAATCAGATAACCATTCTATTTCGTAGAACGGTTGGAACAGTGCCAAGATCTGACATTGAGTGATGTACCGTTTGGAATTGCCGCCAAATAGAAATATATCCGGTTGAAAGAGAGCATATAAAATTAAGAGAATTTAGGAAAATGAACAACTGACGTTGTCTATGGGAGATCCTAAAAGTGCATTACTAACAGTTGTTGACGATACTTGAACCCATCGAAGGGTTCGAGGAGGACATAAAATTCCAGGAAGAGGGATATAAATTCATAAAGACACGAGTAAATCGCTAAAGATATAGGGATAGTGCCATCTGGAAGCAGGTGTCATCTTGTTTTTTGTGATCGTGGTGGTGGTGGTCTTATGGGTGGAACAAATTGCGGTTTTGATGATTGAAGAATTAAGACAGATGTATGACATAAAATCGTTTTTCATTTTTGAATCATATGGATCATTTTCATGGACTGTTTTGGAAAACGAGTTTAAATGAAGACCGTTAAAAACCTGTAATAGAAGGGTCCCCAGACTGTCAAGTTTGAGCTAATTTATCTCGATTTCTGTGAAAAATATTCAAAATGTGCCAACTGACAAAACACTTGTGATATTATGATAAACATTTTATCAGTTGACAACTTTTTTGTATCTTTGACAGGAACCGCAAAAAACAGGCTCAAATTTAATAGTTAGAGGGTTTTTCTACTACAGGGTTTTTTCCCATTATTGGAGAAACATCATCACTAGTTTTTTTTCAGAAACTCAGAAATTAGGTTAGAATAGATCAAGGTTAGAAAGGACCTATATTCTAATAACCTATTTCCTTAAATCCTCTCGTATTGTAAACGAATTTTTAGTTCGGAAAACATAGTTCTTCCTTTCACAGCGGCCCTGAACCTGTGAAAATCGTCGAGTGGGATAAATCAGTAATCATAGAAAAAAATTAATTCCTCAGCATTCAATGAGTACCGTATTCAGAAGAACTAGCTTAATTAAGATTAACAACCGGCAAGTTGAGAATAAGGAAATGTATCGTATCCAACAGCCAATGAATCTCTCCTAACATATCCAATAAATTACTGGCGCCTTCTAATAAAATCTTTCTCTCTGTCACCGCTTCGTGTTCTTTTTCTATTATAGTGCTCGTGTGCCGTCCGTTGTTAAAAAGGACTGTTATATGTAAGCGTACCGACAGAGCGGCGCCTAATAATCGCCGCCATTTCAATTCGCCAAAGGGTGAAACGGGTAAGCAGAGAAAAGAAGAGAATTGGCGCCACATGGGTGATGAATAGGAGGCAAAATTGCAAAAAAAAAAAACTATAGCATAGTGATTAGTGATAACTGATAATGAATGCCATATTAGACAAGTGAGATGGATTTGAAGTGCAAATAAGTGGTGGTTTGAAATTGGATGGATGGTTTGAATATACCGTAAAACCTCGAATGCTTCGAGCCAATTTACTTTGGTTCCTGTCGAAAATATCAAAAAGTTGAAATAATAAATTGTCAATCATAATATCCGAATTGTTTTATCAGTGGACACATTTTTGATCTTGCATAGGAATCGATATAACTGAGGTCCGAATTTCAGTGTGGGGCGCTTCTATTACAGGTTTTACGGTATATCATATGATATATTTCGATCTTAATTTTTTAGCCGGATACAAGTCAAATCAGATAGAAAAGATTCACGCCTACATTCCTCATTTTTTTTTCACAAGAAATCTAGTGCTAATCTCGTCGCCCTCATACTAAACACGATATGATACAATCTATACCGTACTTTGAGAAACGAAGAATACAGAAAAAAAGGACAAAATAGTTGGTGACACATGTCAAAAGCAATTTTCTTCTTCTTCTTTTTTTCTTATTTATGCTACACGAGAACATCAGATTTGAAAACACGAAATCAAGCGAAAATGACGGAGCGATCAGTTGTTGTTGTTACGGGCCGCAACAAAGAAAGAAAAAAGTTGAAGCGGTTAATTTCGAAAAAATGAACAAAAAATGAATAAAATTTGAGAGAAGGTCAATTCATTCGATGTAAATGAGACGAAACGAACAAGAAGAGGAAGGAAGGAGATGAGTCGTTTTTTCTGTGTTTCGAGCGGAATGCAGAGAGGGTCAACACGTGTGTTGATGGTGGTGATGGTCAAAAAGAGTGTCACTTTGAAAATTGAGATGGAGACGAATGGATTGAAATTTATTAAGATTTTCAGGTGTTACTTGTTAGACACTCAAATTTTGCCAGTTTGTCTCTTAATTGACAAACTTCCAGGAGCATCCGAAATTTTTTGGAACACATTATTCAAATTGTTATTTTTCAATATCATTAATGAAGAGTATCATAGATTTATTTTAATAGAGTGAATAGACCATAAGGTGTCAAAAATCGGAATTTTACCCAAAACTTCTAGAAGGGTCCCACAAGTTTTAGCAATTTTTCCTTGGCTCCAGTGCAAAATTTCAAAAATGTGTCGACTGGTAAACTGGTAAAATTGTTTTAATGTTATGATAAACAATTTATCAGTTAACATCTTCTTCATATCTTTTACAGGAACAGAGATAAACTGGCTCACAGATTAAAGTTAGGGGTCCTTCTATTACAGGTTTCACGATATGCTCAGTTTTTATAGTCGAAAGATTGGCCTAAAATTATTTCCAAAACCAGATTTAAAGATTAAATGAAAAATGTTCAAATGAATTTGAAGCTCTTTTAGAATAAGAAGAGATATGAAATATTCTATATTTCCTCTAATAGAAGCTCACACAAACCGTCAACTTTGAGCTCAATTTTCTCGATTCCTGTAAAAGATATCAGAAAACTTTCAACTGATAAGATATTGGTGATATTATGATAATAAATTTGTTAGTTAATAACTTTTTGATATCTTTTACAGGAATTGAAATAATTGAGCTCAAAATTGACAGTTTCGGTGGGCTTCTATTTATTAGAGGAAATACGGTATGTACGAAAAGAGTACTCTTTTGTGCGGCTGATCGAAAAACACAATTTCAGAAAAATCAGTGATTCATACAACAAGGTCATAAAAATAGCTGAAAGAGAAAATAAGTTTTTGTATAAGTATGGACAGCTTGGAGAATGTTTTATTGTCAAAAGAGAGAGCATGCACACGGTGCACACTTCTAGTCACACACCTCTTTTTGTGACTCATTTGCTCTTGACAAAAAAGAGAAAGAACCTTTAGAAAGTTGACACCTACAGAGTCTACTGCTTTTATTCTATCGGAAAATATTTTTATTCTATTTCGATTCTCCATTTTCATACATCATTGAGCACTACGGTCATTTCTCGAGGCAGGAAGGACAAACATGGTGGTGGCAACGGATGGATTTACGATCCGGAACGATAATGTGTACACTTGTCAGGTGGAAAAGTTCACACCGTGTCAATCGGTTCAAATCTTTTTCCCAGAAGGAAAATTAAAGATTGCTGTTGTAGATACCGTATTTTCTCAAAAAGAAGAACACCATTTTCTCAAAAAGAAGAACACCGTATACGTTAACTTTGAGCTCAATTATTTTGGTTCCTATGGGAGACATGAAAATGTGTTAACTGACAAAACATCGGTGATACTATGATAAATAATTTATCAGTTGAAAACGTTTTGATATCTTTTGAAGGAATCGAGACAATTGATGTAAAAGTGCAAAAATACGGTAGAAAGGTTCAGATGATTTTCAGAAAAATTTCTAAGTTAAGCTAAAAGAACGGAAAGGTTTCAAGAGCCATCTGTTAGTTCTAGACTTTTAAAGGTTAGGGGCAGACAGACAAAAACTTCAAGAAAATGAAAGAAAATTGAATTTCTACAATTCGGAGAAATTGAGAGGAGGCCAATAAAACAGTTGTCTCTGTCAAAGAGGATCGGTTCAAAAGTGCGCCTACATATAATCATCGAAACCAAATCGAATCAAATATAAAACCGGTAAGAAGAGGAAGAAGAAAAGGGAGAAAGGTGTCGAAATGCTGATTTAATCGGGTTGTAATTCTTTCAATTGACATTTTTTCTCAGTGGGGGGTATACCAATAGTTCGATTTCGAAATGGAACTATTACCAGAAGAGTTCTAGAGAACTTCTAGTAACCCAAAAAAAAAACGAAAATCCTTACCTCTTTGAAGCTGTGACAATGGAAGACGTGACAAAGTCTACGATAAGTTCTTCCGATTGGTTCTGTAGCCACGTAGCCAACATTTTTGGTATCTGGACGAGCCGAAGCTTCAGTGACACGCCGAAGTGAGTGAGACATCAGAATGGTCTGAAAAATGAGATGGAGTAAAAGTGAAAAATGTCTGAATAGTGTATCGGCAGCTGGGAATGATTTTGTTTAGTGTGCTGGGCGATGGACATCTGCCCGATTGAACCCGGATGGAGTGAAAGAGAGGATAAATGAGGTTTTTTGATTTGATATTATTGAATTGGGACAGCCCCAGAAGATGTTGTCAAAAGAGAGAAGGAGAAGACTTTGAGGAAGAAAAAGCGGATATGTCAATGAGTGAAGAGGAATGGGGAAAATGATTAATTATGGGCCAAAAGGGTTCATTACGATATGGATTTGAAATTTGTTGCCCGAATTTCGAAAGCGACCTATTTTTGGAGTTTCAACTGCTCATACTATAAGTTTTTTAGAACCCACAAAATCTCAAATACCGTAAAACCTGTATTAGAAGAGCAGGCTCTTCAATTCATACAAGGTACCTCCGACGGGCCCTTCTACTGTTCCAGTCTTTTTTCACAGAAATTTCTTTTTAAAAAACTCGCTGAATTATTTTTTTTATTTCACCAAAACTTACTATTAGCAAATTTTTGAAAAAAAAAAGTTTTTCGACAAATTTCTGGGAATTCGTGAAAGAATTCTTGATATATTTTTCACTGAAAACTTACGGAAATGTATAATTTGAAAGACGAAATTTTGAGGGGACAATATATTAGAGGGGCCCTTCTAATACAGGTTTTACGGTACATTAGTATTCTTAGTCTGTTTTTCAACTCCTTATTTTCTCATCTTCCCATTTTTCAGATGTTTCATGACCTCTTTTTCCCTACCAGCCTCATCAAGTACCCCCATTCTCGTGTTTAACTTTCATTCTTCCACGATTTATGTCTTCAACCACTCCCACCCATTTTGTCGTTTTTCATTTTCTCATCCATCTTAAAAACAAATCAGACCCTTCCCACTTCTCTCAAGAATCACACCCAGATGTGTTGTTTTTGGGGGAAATGAGATGGCGCGAAATCCCTATCTATGAGCTACTCGGTTGCTGTCACAAAAGTCCTTGAGAGGTATCAAATTCAGGAAACACTCATTTGGCAGTTTACGTCATAAATATGCATACACATGCAATCTAGAAAGGGGGTACTTAATTAGCACAAGAAGATGGGGAAGTCTCAGTTCACTCTCTTGAAGGTTAATTATATGGCAGAGGTCACTCTCGAGAATCGTCTCATTTCATATTCACACACTAAAGAGTTTGAGTGGCTTCAAAATCTCGAATTGCGTCAAAACCTAAAGATCCCCTATTGAAAGCGAAAATTCACATATCCAGAAGGCTAATTTGTATTCGTTGCGTACAATCTCATAAAATGGTAGAGGTAGATCATAAAAGTTGGCGGTTTATGATTAGTGGTGTGCCGACTCCTTCAGAAGCCGTACCGCTTCGGTTTTAACCACAAAAGGAGAACAAGTCTATAAAATTTGGTCTGTTGGTGCCATCGTTCAAGGACAAAAAGGCATGAAAAATGAGGGAGATGGATGTATCATCCGCGCAATAGGTGTTGTAAGTTAGGCAATTTGTGTTTCCTGGATATCTGATTAAAAGAACATGGGTATATACATTTCAATTAACAATACATACTGTCAAACCTGTAATAGAAGGTCCCTTACGTTTGAGCTAAATTATATCAATTCCTGTGCAAGATATCAAAAATGTGTCAACTGACAAAACACTTCTGATATGATGATTAACAATTTATTTGTTGACAACTTTTTGATATCTCTTTTAGGAGCCGAGATAATTCAGCTCAAACTATAAGGACCCTTCTATTACAGGTTTTTCACTATTCAAATACATCTCCCCCTTTTTCTTTCAATTAACCTATTCTCGATTGCGCAACCTCTCACTGAAAAATTCATGCTTCATCAGTCAAGCCGATCCGTTTCTCGAACAAGAAACGTCGGCACGTCTTCTGCTTCCAAAAGAGACAAAGACATTGTGTGACCGATAATCGGTGTTTTCGGTACTGTGACAGACCAGTAGCCGCGCAACACGTGTTCTATTATTGAGTCATGCTCGAAAAGGAGTACACAGGAACATGAAATTATGGTGGAGATGCTTAATTGGTTCAATTTTCAAATTTATGACAACACATTCTGATGGTGGGAAAGTGCTGACAGATGAAACCACGTGGAGAGAGGCTCAGCATAATAATGAAATTAGCATAATATGGATGGGCAGTATTGCGCAAAAATAGAGTGAACCCATTAAGTGTCTCAAGAAGAGCTTTCTCACCTTCTCACAACAAATCTTCACTCCGGATATCGCAATCGACAGCTCCACATTCTGAGGAACCGAGCTCCCAGCTGGCACAAACGAGTCGATTCGCTTTCCCAAGTTGTCCACATGTGATCCAGAAATTGGAAACGATCCGATGTACTGAAAAAGGGAAACATATTGACCTTGTTCATTCAAATCAATTCTATATTTTGCGGCTCTTTTCTAAAAAGGAATGGTATTTGTGTTGAGCAAGTACTTGAGACTCTACTTGCTACTTGTTCAAGTGGAGAGACCTCCAACTGAGGTTCCGGCGGAAGACGGGGTAACATAATCAGGTGAACATGGTCACTTGACACTTTTGAACACGGTCAGATTATGAAATGAGGAAACTCTCAAGTTACTGTATTTGGATAAGGACTGTTTAATCATTTATTCTCAAGAGGGATTTCCTAGATTCCCCTAGAACAAGTTCAAATTCTGTGCCCCTAGCTCTAATCTGCTCTATGTGTCTAGCCATAAATCATAAACATCTCTCAATTTCTTTATTACCCTTCACAACGCATGCTCATTTTCTTCCGGGACAAGAGCATCATATTGCCCCTTTTTATCTGGTTGTAAACATCTGAAGCCCCACAGGAAGACGCGCTGACCGGTCGTGGTCCGAATAATTTGAAAAGAGAGCGTAACCTGATATGCTCGCGGAGGATATCCGAACGACACTTTGATCAGCTGCGCAATTTGCAACCAATTGGAGATACAGTGTCTCTTTTTTCGGGGCGTCGGAGGGGAGTGTCTTCTTTTGTCACCGCCCGGATGGCAACAGGTGTGAAGCATAGTAAAGGGATTGGTGAGGTCATTTGGAAATTAATGACTTTTGAATGCGAACGGATTATGGATGTAACAATATACTGGAATGTGCTCTAATTCATCATTTTTTAGAATTAAAAATAAGATTTTTTGAACTTGAGTGAATCGAAAACATAATATAGTGATAAAGGCCTACAAATACCATTCTAGCTTTACTTATTTCAAAATAAGACTACCTCACAAACACTCTAATAGAAGGTCACCCAAACTACCAACTTCGAGCTTATATATCTCATTTCCTGTAAGTGATATCAAAAATTGGTTAACTAACAAAATGTTTATCATAATACCAAAAATATTTCGTCAGCTGACTACTTTTTGATATCTTTTACAGGAACCGAGATATGCGGGCTCAAAGTTGGGTGAGCTTTAATAAGAGTGTTTACGGAAATGATGGCTTCATTAAAATTTTCAGACGGACATCAGCAAAAAAAATGGCAGCAAGTTAAAAAAAATTTCTACAGAAAAGTTTTTGAATTGACTTACCTGAACATTCCAAGAAAGAGACGGGAATCCAGAAGCCATCAGAAACGCGTTTCTTGTTTCTTCGTAATTACAGTTAACACTTTCAGTCGTCGAATTTTCAGAACAGGATGTGGAAGACAAAAGATCCGAAAAATAGGTATTCGCGGAATTGGCAGAAGAACCCGACTCGTCGAGATACTCTTCTTGCGGCGCCAAGGGGGCGTGGCTTATTGATGTGTTGGTAGGAGGGAAGCGAGAAGAAGGTTTGGTGGTAGTAGAGGAAGAATAGGAAGAAGGAATCGCGTGGAAGTGGTGGTGGTGTTTGTGGTGACTAGGATGGGCGGAGTTCTCATGGTTCTCGTAGATTTCGTTGATTTGGCATTCAGCCAGAGAGTGACGAAGTCTGGAATAAGTTTTTATTAGGTTGAATGGAAAGTAACTGTCCTTTTTTTGTTAGTAAATAATACGAAAACAAGATTAACCCAAGAATAACAGTATCCGTCGTGGTCCTCACATGTTGCTAATGCTCAGGTAACTTGTGGATAGCTTCCCTGCAAAAGCCAGGT